GTCCAACTGCTATGTTGTTGCAGAATATGATTTTGGATAGGGGAAAAAAAAATGATTTTATCTGCTTTTCCCTGCTGTAATTTTGACTTAGGCTGCAACACTGTGATTTGGTGAGAATGGGTTCACAGTTTTCACTTTAAATTATTTCTCTATTGGAGCCTGTGTGTAGGAGTGAAATAGTACCCAGTCAAATTAATCAACCGGTAGCGACACCCTCAATGCGTTTTAGTAAACCTGAAAAGGGTGCTATGAAATTTCCCCCTCTGCATGGAGTGTTATGCAAAGATGGATTTTTCAAGGAGGAGACAGAATGAATTTTAATAAGGGCTATTCCCAATAACAAAATTCTTCATCATAGATATCTTTAACTACATTCATTACAACCCATTTAACATACAGCTCTAACATTTCAATAACATTATTTAGAATAAACTGACTGTATTAGGTGATTTGTTCAAGCACATTTAGTCATAAATTTAAAGTTTATTTAGACATATTGCTTGTATTCTAAGGAATAAGAAAAGTTTTGTTTTTTACAGTAAGAGCAATAAGGATATGGAATCCTCTGCCTGAAGAGGTGGTTTTATCAGAGTCCATACAGATGTTTACTTTGTAATTGGATAAATACTTGCAAAAAATATATCATACAGGGATATCATTTCTAGTTAGTGGGGTAATAGCTGTATGATCCAAGGACATATCTGACTGACATTTTGGGGTCAAGAAGGAATTTATTCCTAGTTTGTTGCAAAATTGGAAGCGCTTCAGACTAGGTTTTTGGCCTTCTTTTGGATCAACAGCAAAACATATGTGAGGAAGGCTGAACTTGATGGACGCAAGTCTCTTTTCAGCTATGTAACTATGAGAAGACATAGTTAATATCTTGGAAAAATATTATTTTTCCCAGTGGTATTACAGTAAGTGTTTTACTCTATGGGCTGATGTTAATAACACTGTAGAGTCTTAAGATAGTCTCTATGTATTTAGATAACTATATAAAAACTCAGTCTGAAAAATAGTAAATGGCTTTCACCAAATCAGTCACCAAATGTTGTCTCTCAGGTGCGGATTCAAGTAAGTTTATGACTGATAGACCAATGATGCATTATTTACAGAATTATGTTTAATTATATGATCTAAAATCTGAATAGCAATTTATGGTAGAAGTAAGCCACAATTCAGTACACAATGCTGTGATGGATCAAGAGATATTGAGCTAGTTTGTAAGCACCTCTTACAGTGAAATTTATGCATCATTTGTCCCTCTTACTTTTTGGGCTAGTTCTATATGATAAGATGACACATTGTAAAATAAAATTTTTCTTGTTATCATGTCTTTCCATTTTTGGGTTCAATTAGAAATTGTTTGTACTCCTGCATCAGAAACAACACAAAGGAATCACAGCATAAGCAGAAGAATGTGAATTATTTTTAAAATTTCAATTGAATTTCAAACAATATCTTTCTTTGAAATTAATTTCTAAAAAGTTTTAATTTTGTTCAAAATAAAAACAATATATATATATATATATATATATTTTTTTTTTAACGAAACACAAACAGATTTTCAATCAAAATAAGACCATCATAGCGAATAGAATGTGGAATTTGTAGATATATATTATCATTTTATGTATTTAATAGGTTCAGGATAATTTTTCAGTTTATCATTTCAAAAACGAATACAATGCTTTAACAATGAAGACAGCTTAACAGCATGACAACATCTACAGTAATTATGATGATTAATATAGTGATTATTATTATATATTGAGTTATTTTGATTTCCTGGGCTTAGCTTTTCTCTTGGACATTCTCAGAAGATTTGTGATATTGCAGACTTCATGGGGAAATGAGATATAGAAAAATATGTGCTTTTCCAAATTAAGTTGTTATTATCATTGGACATTATTTACACATCTGGAGACAAATTAAAGCATACAAGTTCAATGAATAAGGTGAGTAAACTTAGTATTAATATTTCAGTTATTAAAATTACATTCATCATGAAATTATTTAGTTATAATTTTGACAGAAAAGCTGAAATAGAAATTTGGGGTTATTTACTAAAGTAAGTGTTGGGGATAAAATCAGCCTGGGCCCTTTGTGGATGATGGATATTTGCCAACTCATACAGAGCTCTGGAAATTGGAAATGAATAGCAGAGACGTGTTCAATAACCAATTCAAATTGTATTCATACGTCAGTTATATTTATAACCCATTTTCATAGCAGGATGGGAGGGGGGAAAATGACCATATGGGCGTGACAATGACATTGTTTTTCACAAGTTATAAACAGCTGTTTTTAGTTATAATTCGATGTTACATAATGTATGCATATTGGATAAAACCCAGATGATTACAAATACAGAAATCTTGGACAATTAACAAGGTCATTCCAGAATCCTTATCATGTCATGTCATGTCATGTCGTGTCATGCCATGTCATGTCATGTCATGTCATGTCATGTCATGCAAATATCTTTTTTCCAGGAACATAACAAAATCATGTTTCAATAACATTTCTGAGAATTGGAGATACAATTCCAAATTTATTCTTGATTCAAATTAACCCTTACATGAACAGTTAGGATATAGAGCAAAATGGATATTCGCATCTACAATTCCCCTCTTAGATCATATCATGATCTACCTTATGGAATATCCATGGGAGGCCTGCGGCAGAGAAACGAAAGGAGGTATATTCAGACGTGCTAATCACGTCTGCGGGACTTTCCTTATTTCTTCACCTCGATTTCCCCCATTTGCTCTATGCCGTAGGTTTTCCCTTTAAGAGGAGATCGAGCTGTCGATTTTCAGCTTCTGTAATCATCTGTTGTACACATCTTTTAAGTGTACAAGTTAAATATTTCAAACAGCTGACATCTTAACTGCACATCATGTTATCTGCAACTTGAGCCTTGGATCAAAACAGGCAAAGTGTATTATTCCCAACAACGGGAATATTATTATTATAATTCACAACGTAAACACATATAATCAAAAATGGGAATAAAATCTATTTCCCCTCTTTGGACCAGGGTCTTGGATTACCAGTCCACCCAGTGAACTTGGGCCAGGTCAAAAATCCCAGTGGCAAAAACTCATAATTGAGAAAAAAAAGCACATCTGGGTAAATTCTAAGTGAGGGCCATGACTGTGTTAACATGTCATCCCCTCACGTTGACAGCATTAGTGACTTATAAAACCTGCACTATGTAAGTAAATAGCTCAGGTATCGGGATTGGGAAACACTTCTTGATTAGTTTGAAAAGGCCCACTTACATATTAAATCATAAGATCATTTCTAATCAGTTTGCAATTCTAGCAATAATCCCAATCATGACCTTGCGTCCTATGCCTCCTAATCAAATCCCTATTTTGATGGTCCAGTCATATCCACACTTAATACATTGGAATCCATCCTTGGTACACTTAACATACATCAATGACACACATAGTACATCCATGCCTGAGTAAGCTAACACTTCCTCTCTCTCCGGCTAACTCTACAAAAATAAAAATAACAAAATAGTTCAATAGTCCAGCATAGTCCAGAAAAATATTATAAGTCTTTCAAGGAGTATAAAGAATCTTAGACACCATAAACTTTGTTCCACAATCTTAGACACCATAACATAGCTAAGGGTAGCAATATGGCTGACAACAAGACAATGTCAGCTTCCACATAGTTCTTAATTCTTCTGTTTGCTGGATGTTCACCACAATACTCTGTGCAACACCCCAATTGTTGAAAGGGTAATACAGAAATAGCGGCATTAGACAGCACTGCATCTTCAGGACTTTCCAAGTTAGTTTATGTCCTCATAAGTAAGCATCTCAGTTTCTTCGGCCAGCATGGATTTTGACCAAACAGATTTAATTGCAAAAAAGGTAAGTAGGCAGGTAGGTCAGCCAGAGAGATTGGTGTGTAGTCCCAAATATCAGGCAGCACAAATACTCCAGTACGGTCTCTATAATCATACAAACACAAGGATCAGTACGACATCAATAAATTAATTATCTAGGCTAAACTCAAATTAGAGACTAAAGTTAAACTCTTAATTAGTGTAACATGTACATCTCTCAGTTTTGTTTATGTCCTTTATAAAATTTTAATACATAATTTCCCTTTAAAATGCCTTGTATGGATGAGAGAAGCACTCATTCTATATAAATGCTTGTTGAGTACTAAAACACTAACATATACATATTGGTATAATTCCCAATAAAATGCTGTTCTTAAACTTAAACCTTGATTTGATAATCTCAATTAATTACTTTAATAAAATTTTGTGGACCCTGATAACATCTTTGGAAACCCAAACCTTTTATAGATCCCGATGTGTGTGATCATGTTTTAATACATGTTGGAACCTCCATACAGTTATCCCACTTAAACAATATATTTTTTTTTCAGAACAACTAGGAATGAAATAGGAGAAACAAAATAAATTACTATTGTTCTAAAGTGCTTTGTTTAATACAGGTTTAGGAAGAGTTGTCTTGCTGTGTTGCAAGTGGCCTCTGATAAGGAAGGGACAGCAAACTGTAGACATATGTTATATTAAGTTGCTCTCACTTGTCAGGTCTTGGAAACCCACTTAATTTATTGCAGATGCCTCTATTATACCACTTTACAAATTGACTAAGCATACTTATTATCCTATTTTATTTTAGTTATTTCACATTGCACAGCCTATGTAAACAATGTCTAGGTCCCAACTTCAACTTGTACATCCTCTAAGAGCCAGCATTAATACTGTTTTATCTATCAAAACTATATATAAAGTATTAAAAACATGAACCATCTGTGTATTAGGCTGAGGTTGTTGGGTGTGGGTATAGCTTGAAAGTTGTGGTTGGTATTGAGGAACCTGCCAGGGTGGGAGTCCTTGAATGCCAGCTGGGCCAGGAGAACACAAGCACCTTGGGGTGAATCCCTGCTACCCACAATTAAAACAGTGCTGAAGTTACCATCTCTACAAAAGTTAAATCCTTTGATCAAATTCTCTACCTCTGCCTCTAAAACTTTTCTGATTCAATCTATCACCTCCAAACTTTCTTTGTCTCGCCTGCTTAAGATCACAATCCTTTTGTGACCGATACAACATACTTTTCCCTCTTTCTTTATATCCAAAACAACGTGCTGTATCTTTCTCATGAATCTTCCCAAGAAATTCAGTTCAAAGAGGGCCAGTCACAGACCAACAGTTTGACCAAAAGTGAACAAGGAGGAAGCATATTCCATATGAAGGTCGAGATGACCTAACTCACACCCCCTCTTTGTGTACACCTATTTGTGTACCACACAGATATAATATTAATAAGCTTTTGAAGATTTATTGTGTTTGTATAGCACGGTTGTCTAGGGGTGTATACATAAACAGTGAAAGCAGAGTCTTCATATAGGGTTTGCAATACTGACAGTCTGTGTCATAGGTGTAATACAGACATGCGGTTAGGAACTTTTCCATTGTCAGAACACTAATATATTGCAAATATTAAAATCATATTGCATATTGCTGTTTCCTATACCTGCAAGGATATGGTTGTAATACTTCAATTGAGTTCAAATTGAGTATCAAAAATTCTAACCACAAAAACTAAATTTTATATGCTTATGAAAATGAGTTTAACCCCTTAGTAATTTAATAGGGTGACCTCTTCCCATAGTATGGTTCCTTTTATTATTATTATATTATTTATTCTCTTCTGGGTCTGCAAAATGCTTTCAATATACCAATACAAATATAATACAGTAGTTTAGAATTGCCTCAAAAGAAATTATCTGATCTCTATTAAAAATACCATTTCATCATTTTCCTATAATCAATGAGGCATACTAAATTAATCTTAATCTTGGAAAAAACCTATCCTATACATCCATAATTTTTCTTGTTATATAACCATAACACATTTTTCTTTTCTTAAATAATGCAATGCACTTTAAAAGTAGCGTTAACTCTAAATACTCCCCTAATAATACTGAAACGTGGATCCACGATTTTGAAAAGCAAATGATATATTTTTTCTTTTTCTTTCCCAGGGGCCCCTTTCTTGTTGGCTGATCAGCGTTTTTTTAATCTGTTGTAAAAAGACACTAAAGGCTTGTGTTAATGACATGCAAATATTCTTTAAATATTCTTCATACTCATTGTAATATCACACATCAACTTATAGCACAGAAAACATGTAGCAGATATCCAGCAGACATGCCAATACAAAAAGCATATTCATGGACAGGCAATTAACTCAATCCAAAATAAATTAATAAATGTCACACTATGTGACGGACATAATTTGGTTCTCATATTTGTGCATTATGCATGTCTGCAAACAATGCAAGCAGTACTGCTTTAAGATTAGATCAGAGCACCTGGCAACTGGACAAGAAAGTCAAATTTTGGCAGGAAGTCCATTATTGCAACAGAATTTTGGAAATCAGCTAAAATTTACAAAAACAGACTCCCTCTTTTTTTCTTTCTTAAGACTACAACTCATATTGCTCTTGGACAAGTATTCAATAATAAATCAGTTATTTAATAGATTATTACACTGCCATTTTCATCTGTATCAATACTAAGACAAACTTATTCAAATATAATTTAAAATAACACAGCAAAATACCCATTAACATACATGACAATTAAACTGCGCACTTCAAAATGAGTAACCAAAACAAACATTTATGACAATCATCATTCACACAGAATAAACTTCTAACAGCTGTATTCAGAACATATTATTGTAAGGTATACCAATTTTAGTTTGTATTGGATTTATTTAAGATTTCTGGTACCAAAGGGTTTATTTTTTCTTTTTTAAAGAAGGGATCCCGTACGGCCATATAACACGTTTGACTTAAACATTTGTATAACACTTGCATTAACCAGTTGCAACATATGTACCCTGTCAATGGAATTTCTCTCTTATACGCTTATAGAACATTTGGACCAGATTACACAGACATGGTATCACCTGCATTTGTCAGAACTCTCAAAGACTCAAAATATTTATACTACTCCATGTTAAAGGCATGGCAAAATTTTGACCGGTCAATTTGAGTTTCCAAAAGTCATATCAACACAGGTAAAAACCTTTGTCCATGGTTTTCTGATCCTACATTCCATGACCAAAATTTCAAACCCACTTCTTCACAGTTTGGGTCACAAGCAATAAAATCTCAGCAACCCCATACAATAATTTACAGAATACATACAATTTAAAGCACATACAACATGTGACGTACTGGAATACTACAAGTTAGCTTACAGCACAATATGAAGCATGTGTTGGAACGCTGAAAATATAAATTTTGCTTTCTAATTCATAATCATCTAAATTTACAACATAAGTTCTCTGCAACAAACACTCAGGGCAGAAAGAATGTGGTGTTTGACGTTTTGAATGAAGTGACTTTTTGTCCCAATATGAAAATAAAGGGCTCATCATATAAACAATCATACATCCCACTCTCATGAAAAAGTGTAGTGGGCTTATAGTACTTTTGACCAAGTATAAAAATAAGGGGCTCATTATGCAAACAAACATACATGCAGAGAAATCATGTTAGTTCTAGAATTTGTAGCCCCCCTTAAATAACCTCTAGTTTTTTTTTATTCATCATCACCTTTAAATATACATTTGACATTCCCTCAATTAAGACTTTATGCTTAAAATCAGCGTTGCACATCATAAAATAGCACATAAATTAGCAAGCCGGAGTAATGCCAAACATCCATCATACCTTTTAACCCCCCATTTTTTTTTTTCTTAATAACCATTTTAGTCTGAAAAATTGACATCTACGTTAAATAAATACCACAGTCCACCAAAGACTGGAAATCTGTTTTATAACCTACCAAAGGCAACCTCTACCAAAGAGGGATCTAGGGACGTCTCCCATATGTAAATGTACATCACAGGACATCACAGCCTACCAAAGGCTTGAAATTATTTTTAACACCTGGCCAAAGGTGAACCTCTTACCAAAGAGGAAATGTGCACATAACTGCTACTACCTACCAAAGGCAATCCTCCAACCCGTGGAGTAATAGAAGTCTACCTAAGACTTAACAAAATACCATGTCTACCAAAGACATTATCCTGTGAAAATCCCCTTTAAAAATGTAAATAGTGAAAAACCCCATTAAAACAAGAAATGCAATGTGTGGGAGGATGGCAGAAGCAGGCAAAGGTCCCCAACCCCTTAAGGACACACGACAGAAATACTCCGTCATGACTCCCTTAAATTCCAGAAGTTGTGTCCCCAAGGGGCTAAAGACCCCCTTACCTGCAACTCCGTTCCTAATTGCACCCAAACATCTGACACCAGTTTGTTGGGGATAAAATCAGCCTGGGCCCTTTGTGGATGATGGATATTTGCCAACTCATACAGAGCTCTGGAAATTGGAAATGAATAGCAGAGACGTGTTCAATAACCAATTCAAATTGTATTCATACGTCAGTTATATTTATAACCCATTTTCATAGCAGGATGGGAGGGGGAAAAATGACCATATGGGCGTGACAATGACATTGTTTTTCACAAGTTATAAACAGCTGTTTTTAGTTATAATTCGATGTTACATAATGTATGCATATTGGATAAAACCCAGATGATTACAAATACAGAAATCTTGGACAATTAACAAGGTCATTCCAGAATCCTTATCATGTCATGTCATGTCATGTCGTGTCATGTCCATGTCATGTCATGTCATGCAAATATCTTTTTTCCAGGAACATAACAAAATCATGTTTCAATAACATTTCTGAGAATTGGAGATACAATTCCAAATTTATTCTTGATTCAAATTAACCCTTACATGAACAGTTAGGATATAGAGCAAAATGGATATTCGCATCTACAGTAAGAATTTAAAGTAAATTTTAAAAATTTTAAGGCCACAGTAGCTGAACAGAAAGCATAGTTGAGAGATTTTTTCCAATTCTGCTATTTTCACCTTACATGTGAAATTCACTTTGGATTTCTTATTTTCCACTTTTTCTTGTAATTTGAAGAGTGAGTCACTATTTTGGGTCCATAGTAGCATATTGTGTTGTTTTGGGTCCATAGTAGCATATCTTCTCTCCTTCTTGTCACCTATTTAATTCTTGCACATCTTTATCAACATCTTCAAAACTTGTCTTTCTCTTGCAACAAGACTTTGATTTACTAACAAAATGACTATCTGTGACGAGACCAATCTCGCCACATTGCATTGGAGAAGCCTGGTTGCCCGCCTGTTGCCTCAGGACTATGGCCCCATGTTAAAAAGCTTGATTTTCCCCTGCAAAGACACGAAAGCCGGGTCATTCGGTGCTTGCCCTGTATGAGCGGTGATACCCCAGATAGCTATGCCATGGAGCCCATTCGTATAATAAAAGACTATGGGAAAGACTTTGGCTCCATGGCAATTGAACTGTATGTGTGTTCTCTGAGAGCCATTCAGTAATAATGTGCGCTCAGATCTGAGCTATCTGGGGATATGTTGAATGTACCAGTTTTGTGCAATGGCTGCACAGTTATATGTTTTATGTGTTTTATTGTCTTTTGCTGCCATGTGTTCAATGGAGTTTTGCCTCTGTCTTTGGAGATAATTGGATTACTTCCCAATTATCTCCAGGATAGAAGACTCTGTGGAACTGGTTTTGGGCAGAAAAGCCATGCTTCCTTTGGTCACAAAGGACTACGATCTATCTTTTGAACCATTGGACCAATTTGTATGATTTTGACATATGTTTGTATTTGGAGTATGCTGATTCTGAAAATGTAAGTTTTATGTGAATGTGATGCATACTTTTCAAGTTATGAATAATGTGGAAAAACTGTATTTCTCTGGCTGTTATAATTACATTACCCATTGTGTAAGGTAATTGTATCACAGGCAGAGGGGAGGGTTTTGTGTGGGAGTGTCTGAGTGTATTGTACATGTTTATTGGTTGTTTTCCAAAACCCTGTGGGTGGTACTAATGTGTAAGAATGTGTACATAAGAACAATATGTGAATGTGATGCATACTTTTCAAGTTATGAATAATGTGGAAAACTGTATTTCTCTGGCTGTTATAATTACATTACCCATTGTGTAAGGTAATTGTATCACAGGCAGAGGGGAGGGTTTTGTGTGGGGGTGTCTGAGTGTATTGTACATGTTTATTGGTTGTTTTCCAAAACCCTGTGGGTGGTACTAATGTGTAAGAATGTGTACATAAGAACAATAAACCCACAGCTCTGTCTGTTCACTGCTTGACCCTCAACACGGAACTTTGTCTCGTTCTTGGGGGGATTTATTGTATGCTGTTCCAGTTCGACTGCTAGGAGTGTAAACCTATTCGTATGGTTTTTCCTATTCAGCTGTTTACGGCATTCATGTGGTTTCCTGTTCGGCGGATTGGTGTTCTGCAGTAGATGTGCCTGTATATCTGGAAGGGGAAGATCTCCTAAATGGTGGTTTAAACCTTTTATGCTGAGTGTGCCGTTACACTATCTTTTACCATTAATTTATTTGTGTCATCTCCTAAAACTCTTATCTTAACTCCAGCATCCTTTTCTTATAAAATTCATATCTCCTGTAAATTATTTGGTCAAGGCTGATCAGTATCTCTGGACCTCACAACATGTAATCTATAACTCTATCACCCCACATTATAATGAATTTCTATAAGGAAGTTTATAAATAACCAATAGACCCAAACCCTTACAGGTTCACCATGCCTATAAGCTTCCTAGCACATTTCTTTTGATGTTAGCCTTCTAATCACCTAATAATATTTTATATCCTTGTTTATTTTAGAATGACATTATGTTTTGGATCTAGAAAGTTACTATTTTTTATCTTTCAAACTATATCTGCTGACTTTTGACATTGGCATACCTAAGACCCAATTGACACCACCGTCTGAACATCACTCTCACAGAAACCTCCAATGTCTTGACCTAGACCATTTCTCCACTAATTTTCAAACTCTCCTTTTACCTATCTCAAACGTCACCTGTCCTAGTTCTGCAACCTCCTTCTACAATTCCACCCTCTCCTCTCAACTAGACATCATGGCATTTTGTACATTTAAATGCCGCAGGCCCCCCCAACAATAACCCTGGCACACTAAACTCACTTGATAGCTTCAAAAATGCTTCAGAACTGCTGAACGCTGTTGGAGAAAGTCTCACTGTGCATCTAACTTTCTCCACTATACATTTATGCTGAGCTCATACAGCTTGGCTCTTTCCTCTGCAAAAGTTAATTACTTCAATACCCTCATAACCAAACTCTCCCGCGAACCCAAACGACTATTTCGCACATTTAACTCTCTTCTTCACCCTGCTGTTCCTCCTCCACCTACTAACTTGACCGCCACAGACTGTGCCACTAATTTTTCTTCTTCCCCTTACAATACTTCCCCTAACTTCACTCCCTCTGCTGTTCTATGTTCATTCGCACCTGCTACATTGGAAGAGGTTTCTGCTTTGCTCCAGTCCTCCCGCCCCACCACCTGCTCCCTAGATCCAATTCCCTCGCATCTCATCCGTACTCTGTCTTCTTCTCTTTCTCCACCTCTCACTAAAATTCTCAATCTCTCTCTCTCCTCTGGTATATTTCAATTGCCCTTCAAACATGTAACTGTAACCCCAATTCTAAAGAAGTCAAATCTTGACCCTAACTCCCCATCCAACTATCGTCCTATCTCGCTACTGCCTTTTGCATCCAGGATCCTTGAAAAAACTGTGTATGTGAGATTGACAGACTTCCTCGAGTCCAACTCTCTGCTAGACCAGCTTCAATTTGGTTTCCGCGCTAAGCACTCTGTGGAAACGGCACTGACTTCATGAGCTCCTTACTGGGAAATCTTGGTTTTCCATCGCTGGTAGGCGGTTCAGGATTAGTAGGCCAATAAAAAAACCTACTTGCTGTTCCTTCTGGAAAGGTAACTTTAGCCCTTGTCCCTTCCCAGCAACTTCACCACCTTAAACGAGGGATGCTTTTACTTGGATGTCATGAATCCACATCTTGCTCTCTTTTAACTTGACATCATTGTAAGTCATGAGCAGAACTTGTACAGAAACAGTCCACTGTGGCAAAGCTTTTTGTTTTCCCAGGTTTTAGACATTGCAGCTGCTAATTCTGAGTCCCCACTTTGATGTTCAGTGCTTTGGAGTGCAATTCCTTGGGAAGAAGCACTGCATCTAGCAATTCTTTCATTTGGGGTCCACTCTGAATTTGTGTCTCCTTTTGCAGTGAGGAATCCTCTTT